GCATTTTTAAACGACTAGTAAAATGAAATTGTATCCATAAATTTTTCATTTGGTCAGATATAGAAGCTATATCTAAAACTGAACCGATTTTCAGGAAACTTAACACACATCATTCTAGACCTATTTCATAACGCTGTGCCAAATTTCGTGCAAAACGAAAGATATTTAGAGACTTTGGGGAACCAATTACATTAAATCGGACTAAAATATATATGGGAGCTATATCTAAAACTGAACCGATTTCCAGGAAACTTAACACACATCATTCTATACCCAATTCATTACGCTTTGCCAAATTTCGTGCAAACCCAAAGATATTTAGTGACTTTGGGGCACCTTTTGCATTAAATCGGACGAAAATATATATAGGACCTATATCTAAAACTGAACCGAATTTCAGGAAACTTAACACACATCATTCTAGACCTATTTCATAACGCTGTGCCAAATTTCGTGCAAACCGAAAGATATTTAGAGACTTTGGGGAACCAATTACATTAAATCGGACTAAAATATATATGGGAGCTATATCTAAAACTGAACCGATTTCCAGGAAACTTAACACACATCATTCTATACCTAATTCATTACGCTTTGCCAAATTTCGTGCAAACCGAAAGATATTTAGAGACTTTGGGGTACCTTTTGCATTAAATCGGACGAAAATATATATAGGACCTATATCTAAAACTGAACCGAATTTCAGGAAACTTAACACACATCATTCTAGACCTATTTCATAACGCTGTGCCAAATTTCGTGCAAACCGAAAGATATTTAGAGACTTTGGGGCACCAATTACATTAAATCGGACTAAAATATATATGGGAGCTATATCTAAATCTGAACCGATTTTCAGGAAACTTAACACACATCATTCTATACCTAATTCATTACGCTTTGCCAAATTCCGTGCAAACCGAAAGATATTAAGGGACTTTGGTGGACCATTTACATTAAATCGGACGAAAATATATAGGGGAGCTATACCTAAAACTGAACCGATTTTCAGGAAACTTAACACACATCATTTTAGACCTAATGCATTACGTTGTGCCAAATTTCGTGCAAATCAAATAATATATGGGGACTTTGGTGCCCCAATTACATTAAATCGGACGGAAATATATATGGGAGCTATATTTAAATCTGAACCGATTTTCAGGAAACTTAACACACATCATTCTATATCTAATTCACTACGCTCCGCCAAATTTCATGCAAATCGAAAGATATATAGGGACTTTGGTAGACCATTTACATTAAATCGGACGAAAATATATATGGGAGCTATATCCAAATCTGAACCGATTTTTCCCAATTTCAATAGGGTTCGTCCTTGGGCCAAATAAGTGACCTATGCCAAATTTCATCCAAATCGGATCATAAATGCGACCTGTACATTGTTCAAAAAAATACATAGACGAACGGACGGACAGACGGACATGCGTAAATCGACCCAGAAAGTGATTCTATGCATATTCTCAAAAGGAACCATGTGTCTATCTCGTTTCCTTTTGTCTGTTGCGAACATTTGCACAGACATAATACCCTGTACCACAGTGTGATGAAGGGTATAAATATATATATATATATATATATATATTTTGGCCTTACCTCAACTTCAACGCAACCCTTTATCTTGCTAAAGCCCATCTTCAATTCACCATGACGCTCCGTTGTCAGGCGATAACCTTTCGGATGTATTTGTCCTGGTCCCAATTGTAAACCATAACTGGTCGAAGTCGCACTGAGCGATGACGAAACTGTCGTTGATAAATTACTCGAAGAGTCGGATAAACTTTTGTAGGATTTTGCACTGGAATTTGAAGGTACAACACTGGATTTGCGGGACATGGACGGGCTGTCGGGCGTGGACGGAGCCATAATGCTATTTTTACGTAACGTTTCATGTACCGTAAGACTTGAACCGGTGGTAGCCCCAGGGCCACTGTTTCCCGCTGCAACATACATACTTCCCTTGCGTTGTCGCTGTGTTGCCGGTGTTTCACCGGTGTTCATGGTGTAAATACTGGCTTTGCGTTGTGGACTTTCGTCTGGTCTTAAGTTGTAAACACTGCCCTTGCGCACATGTTGTGGACTGTCAGTGAGTTGTTGTTGTTGTGATCCCAAGTAGTATTGTCTTTCGGAAACATTGGTGGCCGAGGAGGCCTGTTTAAGCATGGAGAGTGCTTGTTTTGGTGTTGCTGGCAACATATTGCCACCGCTACCCTTCCAGCGGGGTGGAAATTGTGGTTTCATTTCTTCATCGGATGGTGGACTTGTGGCGGTATTACCCAAACCCAGTGGTAATTGCTGTTGCTGCTGTGACAAATCGAAAACAGAGCTCTTACGACTACTCGGATTGCTGGGTAGACCAACGCGACTGGTACCTAAGAATGTGAGCGATTATTAAGGTATATATTGCAAAGTAAAACGCAAATTAGGGAGGAATTCCAATCAATGGTAAATATTTAAATACAGCGAATTACTTTAAGTTCTATGGTATTTGGAAGTAACAACAACATTAAGATAAAAACAGAACAGAACAACGTGCATATAGCTGTGTAAGGATATTATGTGGCATAGAATTGAAAGTGTTAGTTTAGTGTTTAATATTCAAAGGGTGCTTGGGACATTATTTTCATTAATGCAGTAAAATATTTTAAAGGCAAATGAATTGTAATCGAAAAATACAAAAAAGTAGATTTTTTACATTGCTAAAAATAAAAAGTGTCATAGGATGATAAATATTTAACCAAATTTAAAATTTAAACTACTCGTCAATTTCTAAAAAAAAGAAAATAAATAAATAAATCTCTCTTTCGAACAATGTACAACTCTATGTGCACTTTGTTAATCCGCTGCGTTACTGAAGCCAACTTATATTAGGGCTTTTATGGCCACATCACAAAAAGGTTCTGTGTGAAATGTTAAAAGTGAACGTGGTTGACAAATGTTGTTAACATAGTTCATCCCTAGTGCCTTCATGGGAATCGTGGTGGTCTTCTCGTCTGGTGCGGAAATGTGCGTGTTTTTTTATCATTCCAAAAAGCAAAAAGGGCCAGTAATGGAAAGACTTACATCGAGTATAAATAGTTTTTCAGCAATTTTTGGTAACTAGGGAATGAATAATCAGCTTAGTGCCACAAAAAATCTTGTTAAAAGCTCGTTTGTCTGAATTGAAATTTGGAAATGTTTATTTAAAGCATTTTCAGTATTAAAAATAAGAATGCGGGTTGTTTTTTTCGTTTTTTTTTCGTGCATAGTGCAACGATGTAATCATATCCGATTAGTGTACAACTTGATACCGATGCTGGCATGCCAATTTTCTTTTGCAGTCACAAAATGGGTTCGGCCCAATGAACACCCCTATTGTTTTTGGTAAAGATCGGTTAATATTTAGGGATGAAATGGACCAAATACATAATTGTGTCCGTTTTTTGGTCGCTCCAGAGGTCTCAATTATGGCCCAAACATGGTGAAATTTTACATGGAGAACGGGATTGGGCTAAAAAATAAGCATGTCTGTTTTGATAAAGATCGGCCAAAATTTGGGGGGCAAATGGATCCTGACTTATGTTTGAAAAATTACAAAATGTGTATTCTATTGTGTATATATTTACTCCTGAAGGACATAGGCCCAAGAAGTTGATAGTATGTTCAAGAGGAGTGGTTGACCTTTAAATTGATACCAATTATTTTTAGGTATGTACTCGGATGTGGGAGTTACACTGAAATATTTACAGGTGCTTACGTATTCAGATATTATTTAGTAACCCATTACCACACTGGAGGGCGGATATATAGCGCTGATCGCTTCGAAATGTTCCATGAGGTTCCAGTTATGGTCAAGGACAACGCCTATAAATTTCGGCGATGATCAGATAATCCTTTTGGGATGAAGTGGACCGAAATCTTACTTTTTTTTTAATTTTTTCGAGTCGACCTATAAGCCACAATTATAAGCCGAACATAACCACAGAATCCACGGTGAAGGGAATATAGAAATGCAATTAGAAGGGCTGTACTGAATATTAGTTATATTGACCTCAAGTCGATCAAAAGGGTGCAATTATCACGAAATATTGCCAGGCTCGGAATAAAAATCCGCAGAAAGTTAGAGTTCCGAGGTAGTTGTGTAGGGTATCGTATGATCGGCCCCGTCCGACTATACTGCTCCGCTCACTGTTTTTTTTTTTTTGAGTTTGTCTTTAAAAACAATCTCTTACTATGGTTCGAAATTACATATATAAGACCAAACGTTCTTGTATTGACGAAAATGTGAAAGAAAGAGGCTATTTCTGATTGTACGTGTGGCCTTGAGACGTTAACGTCCACCGCTAGAAAATATAGCCTTAAAAGTCAGACATTGAGTTGCATATTAAAACAAAATAGAATCTTTAGATGATCTTAATTTCAACCAGGCTGATAGCGGTGATAATTACGAGGCTACGACCATCGTGCTGAATGTGCCCCATCAAATGCCCAACCTACCCTACAAAACTGTAAAAAATTTTAACTAATACTAATTTATTATGTGTTTTGGTACTAGTTTTTAAAATTAAATATGAGAGGACAATAATCTGCCATAAAGTTGAATAAGTACTGAGATATAGAGCTCTAAAAAAAGTGACGAATGTGCCTCAGTCTCCCCTACTAGATTTACTGGTGGAGTTCAGAATGGGGAAAGCTGCAAAAGAATATCAGTCCGTACTGATTCCACGGTTATATTTGTGAGACGGTTATAGTTGGATATAACCTCAAGAACAAGGCGTGGACGACCTATGGTAGCAGGCCTAAATGCCCGGAAACTATCAAGAAAGAATCGGAAGACAAGATTGCCTTTCCGAAAAGCGCATACTAATTGACTAAGTGGAGAAATATTATGCCCCGGATGAATTGAAGTTAAATATTAGTTCGGGAAAAAGACAAAGACGAAAATTTTGGATTCGTAGATTCCGTTCAGGAATTTTTTATGGATGCACCTCGCACAGGTAGGCCGGTCGTCGAAAAGTTCGAAAAAATTGGAGAAATGATTAAAGTTGACTGGTTGACCGGAGCAGTCATAACAACGCCCAGGAGCTAAAAACCGACTATAAACTGTTTTAACCCGTTTATACAATAATAATAACAATAATAATAATGGGAAGCATGGAGGAGGGTCAAAATGGTATTGGTATTTATACCCTACACAACTATGTTGTCAGTGTATTATAGCTTTTTGCAGGCCCAAGAGTTTGTAACGCCGCGAAATAGTGGTCCTAGACCCTCCTTTAAGTATACCGATCGTCATATCTCGACTAGTTGAATCGATCTAGACATGTGTGTACGTCCGTCCGTCTGTCCATTATAATGTGTAAACACGATACAGGCCACAGTTATGGACCAATCTTCACGAAATTTTGCATGTAGGAATTCTGGCCAATGAAGACCCCTATTGTTTTTGGTAAAGATCGGTTAATATTTAGGGGATGAAATGGACCAAATACTACATTTTTGTCGGTTTTTCTGGTCGCTCTAGATGCCGCAATAATGGCCTGAACATCGTGAAATTTTACATGCATAAGGGGATCGGGCCAAACAATATGCATTGCTGTTTGGATGAAGATCGGTCAATATATAGTTGGTCAAATGGATCCTGACTTTTGTGTGAAAAATGACAAAATTTTTATTCTATAGCGTATAGATTTACACCTGAAGGACATAGAACCGATCAGATGATAGTACATCCAAGAGGAGTGATTGACCTTTAAATTGCTACCAATTATATTGTCGTATGTTCTCGGATGCGGGAGTTACACTTAAATATTTACTGGTGCTTACGTATTCAGATATTATTTAGTAAGCCATTACCACACTAGAGGGCGGAAATATAGCGCTGATCGCTTTGAAATTTTCCACGAGATTCTAGTTATGGTCAAGGACAACACCTATAATTGTCGGTGATGATCAGATAATGATTTTCGTATGAAGTGGACCTAAAAAATTATTTTTTGTGCATTTTTCGAATCGATCTATAGGCCACAGTTATAAGCCGAGCATCACCATACAACCTAGGGATACGTAGTCGAGCGCAAAATACGACTTTTAGACTTTTCGATTTTTCCCACTGACCAAAAAGTCGATTTTTAGACTTTTCGATTTTTGCCGTTGACTAAAAAGTCAACTTTTCGATCTTTCGATTTTGTCAAGACTGTTCCAAATCGATTTTCGACTTTAACTGATTTCTGCAAAATCGACTAATGTAAAGTTCCGGAAAGTACAATATTTGGGCAATTTGAGCTATGTGATAAAAAACCAAGCATTCATGAAGAAAATCGAAAGTCGATCTTGAATTATCGGCTTTACGATTTTCTCATAGATCAAAAGTCGAATTCGACTTTTAGACTTTTCAATACAAAATGTCGATTAAACGATTAGTCGAAAGTCGATTGACCTATCCCTAATACAACCCACGGTGAAGGCAATCGGGACAAGTAATTAGAAGGGCTGTACTGAATATTAGAAATATTCGGAAAATATGTCAGTGTATGGAAGAGGTGCTGTTGACCTCTAAACGGGCAAGAGGGTGCAAATGTCATGAAATATTGCCCAGGCTCGAAATAAACATCCGCGGAAAGTTAGAACTCCGTCGTAGTTGTGTAGGGTATGTTATGGTCGGCCCCATCCGACTATACTGCTCCGTTCACTGTTTTTCTTTTTATAGAGTTCAATATATTTACAACATTTATGAAATAAAGAATAGGATTGTTTAAACAATTGTATTGGAAACCTTACTTTCATATGAATTGGCTCTGATTAAATTGTTTTCAGGATATCATAGGGAGTCAAATATTCACAATAAAAATATTAATGCAGGTTTTGGTATATCTCCCATTTGAGTGTAACGATCAGTTTTTTCTATTTTGAAAGCTGTAGCCGCATATTGCCCATAGGTGTGGCCGTAATTTAAAATTATCAGTTTAGGATCACGTTTTTGCATATCCTTTATATTAGGGTAGCGCATCATTGTAGTATTTTTAAGATTTTAGTTACATTTTTCCATTGAAGTGTCTGTAATTTGGCATTCCAGAATACTGAAGGGAAAAACACTTTATTGTGGAGTATGTTTAATATAAGTCCAAATTCTGATGTAACCTAATTTCCGAGTTTTGAATTTTCTCATCGAAGTGGCTATAACGGATTCGGAATGAATAATCATTTTAGTTCCAGCAATTATTCCATATAAGTTATTTTCAATATCCTGAAGTTCCTACCCCCGTTTTCCATCCCGAGTGTCTGAAGTGGGAACATTATTTTTTTCCACAGCATTATTTTTTCCACATAGTGTAATAATATCGTTTCCATACAAAGGTCCCCATCGATTTTAAGGAATTTTGGATGCGTTCCA